AAAGTCCAGTTTGAGTAACAGATCAAGAGATGCGGTTCTAAGTGGACAAATCATCCTCTGGCCCAGTTTGGACAGTTTGGGTTATTTCCCTTTAGAGATTTCCTTATTTGAGTTGTAGGGTCAGTCCGACCTGATCAAACTAAAACCATGCAGTCCTGATATAGCTGATTAGCTGTTAATAAATGATTAATTAATCATTTATATAGGGATACTTAAGCTATTTACTCAGTTATGTTTTAAGTGTCTTTATCAGACACCAAAACCCTGCACAGAGCTTTATAACACTCTGAGTCAGTTTATGACAGCAGCCATCGTTTTATTTTTGAGCGCGACAGTTGCAAGGTTACCAATTATAGTTGTTCCAATACCAATACTAGTATTCCTCCGATACTGCCTAAAATACAGTATTGCATGTACACATGGCTATGCACTGATCCTAGACCACAGGATTTAGTAGTCCCTGCTAATTCATAGCAGTGTCCCATTTGCCATATTTTTTTTTTGGTAGGATGGTTGATGGTAAAGTAATGACCTCTCCTACTCTGTCTCTGACACAGGGTTTAACTTGAGCCAGACCATACAACAATCATACAGGCTTAGTAGTATACGCTTGTTAAAAAATAATAGAATATACTGTATATATAAATATATCTTTTAACGTCCTTGTATCAGATCAGTAGGGTACTCAGTAACAGGCGATACGCAAGCTTCAGGTATCAGGAAGGAAAAAAAAGGGTATCGGAACATCTCTATTCTCAAATAACTCAAGAAAGTGAATAAGCACATTTCCAAAAATGTTGCATAATTCCTTTAAGCAGACCGTGCTCATGTACCAGCCAGGTGTCTTCTAGTTGATTATTTAACTTTTTGATTTGAGGTCCAAAATAATGTTTGAAATCGGGAAAGGGGAAAGTTAGCTTTCTCGAATTAATCGTTATGGCTGGTACAAAAAAAAACCCTGCTGATTTATTGCGCCGTCTTCACATTTCAGGCAGACCAAATACAAATGCTGAAAGTGAACGTACCAGTTATCTGACCCTGGATTATGTGAGCTAAATTGAGTACTTTTCTTTTCATTAATTGGAGAGGTAGCATTCTTTTTCAAATAGACACCAAGTATTGTTGACGTTATGCAATTGATTTGAGTTGTGTATGTCCTGAAACTCTGTCAGTATGTAAAGATCCAAACAAAATTTGGAGTTGTCACAGCAGTTGTGTAATGTGTGTTTTTGGACAGGTCTGTTGTGTTCTAACTGGCTGTGTCAGACTGAGGAGCTAGACGAGGCACAAACAAGCTGTGGCCTTTTTATCTAGCCTCAGGGGTTGATTATATTTCAATAAAGAAATACAAGTATTGTGAGTTTATTTGTCTTACTCCTTTCTTTACCTTTATGGTAGGCGGGTATCCGTGATATTAAAATGCAGATACAAACCCTAAATCACCACTGAATGGCCTGTTAGCAGAGCCGAACATGGCTACACACGTTTTGAGAGTCGGCTTGCTTGTTCAGCAGAAACTCGCCTCATTAATCTTCAGAGCCGTCGAGGTCCATTGAGTTCAACACTGAGACTGCTGAAAGCTACATTTTGCCTCATTGATTTCAACCCCTCTGGGGAGGCAGGCCGGCACACAGAACAGGTGCCGTATCACTGCTATTGATTTACATTCATGTTCTTTTCACGGTGAAATTGGTTAGGAGAGGTGCTCAACGTGAGACGAGGGCCGAGAGAGCTGCAAGATGGCGTTCGTCACACAAACCGCTGAGTGAAAATACATTAAGACGATGGATATAATTACTACCCTCATGGTGATTCAAGGTGGAAACCGTCTTTAGCCCAAATATTTCAAACATGGATATGATGTCAGCTTGAAAGATTAGGGCAATGCTTCGATGTGACATTCACTTGATCAGAAAAGTTGCCTACACATTAGTGTAATCAGCAATAACATGGTATAGGCCAGCATCACTAAAGCAGCTGAGGGCCAGCAGAAAGAAACCACTTGTCACTGACATATAACACATTTTGTCAATGCCTTTAAAGTTTCTGTGCTATTCAAGGGTCTTACCACTGGGGGTCAGCACTTCACTGATTAACGTACTTGTCCTTTCTCATTACTTGGGTGGTAAAAGCACTGTCAAACACAAATGTTTGCACTTTGCAGGACCAAAAATCTGCTTATTGCTATCAATTTTTTCAACGTCAAATTGCTAAATGTTACATAGGTCCTGTGTGATAACTTAAAAGCTCAGTTAAAGGCAAAAAAAGACCTATTAAGAAAGAAGAAAGAAGAAAGAAAGAAAGAAAGAAAGAAAGAAAGAAAGAAAGAAGATGTGTAGCATACATAATACATTTTGACAGGACACACGGTTGTTATTTTAGGAGAAAAGAGCCAATAGTCAGTGACAGCTGACACACATCACATCAGCGTTATATCGTATGAAATCAGTCGGCCTTTTGGAAAAGCTCACGTCCTCCACACCATCATGTCTCTTACAGCACTTCTGAATTTCAACTAGTGGTTCTCCTTGATTTCATGTATTCATGGTTCACACTTTCTGTGTTACATTCAATGTCTCCTTCCCTGTGCATTATTGAATCCCTTTGATAATGTAGCTACTGAATGCTGGTCAGCATACCTTTTGGCTTGGAGTTTATTCCTCTCTTGCACAATCTCTTCCAAGCTGTCTGGATTCATTTGGGCAGAATTTCCAGAAGAAAGAACCTCGCCAATTAGTACAACTGTACGCTCATTTATTCCTACAGCAGTCTTGCCTTTTTTTTAATAACATTAAAAAGCAGCTGTCTCAGTTTCGTATAATTTTAGGGTCATGCAGTAATACAGTGGATTCATCAGTCTCCATGTTGAGGTGTGTGTGCAAAAGATTACCTCAGATTTAAATAAATTTAAAAAAAAAAGCAAAAACTATAAAGTCTAAACTTCTACCAGATAGACTTGATTTAATTTTCAGGACAATGGTAGATTTAAAAAGCATGCCATAAAAGGTTCAAAAAAGTCAAATTGAACAGCTATGTATTCAGATGCTTGGTGTTTATGTACAATACCAGAAAACTTTAATTAATAGATCAGGCTTTTATTTGCTTCAATCATTGAACTCAACCTGTCTATATTTGGGACAGGCATTTTTGCACAAAGCTCATGCTCAGCAAAGAAGGGGAATCCTATCAAACTGTTTATATAAACCAGTGTGAATATTAGTAAAAATGAGGATATAGAATAACAGATCGATTACAAATCATTCATCATTTGATTCTTTGGTGTTCATACTTTCTGTAAAATGAACTGAATGATTGGATTGCAGAGTCTAACTCATATAACGATGTAATGAGTCTATGCAGCTCAGAACTCACTGAAGCGAGTGACTCGATGGGTTTTAAGAAGTTTTATACATCAAAAGAATTTCTATAAAATCCTGACCAGGTGTCTAATTAATGTGTAGTCACAGCAGGCTAGTAAAGGGAACCTGCGTCTAATTGGGACCCTTTTATTGAAGTTTTATGGTAAATATCTGATGTGCAAAATATGATTCCATCTGCTTTGGCATAAAACATGTAAAGGGTTTCATAATTAGCTGTTTGTCCCATTGCTTTTAATCCTCACAAATGGCCTCACAAATTAAAAAAAAAAGGTGGAGTGAAGTCATGTGAAGACAATGGTGCTGATGGAGATGTAGGCAGATGGAAAAAAGAAGAGAAGATAGATAAAAGGATGGAGAAAAAAAAGAAATCAGAAAGTGAGTCAGAAAGGGCAGCCAGGCAGGATGGAGGTGTAAATGTACAAATGTATAGATATCCTTGTGAGAAACTGGGTCCCTTCTCATTCTCTCTACAGAGTGGGCAGAAAGGTGGTCAAGCCTTTTATATTAGTCCACTACAGTCCCTACATCACTAACAATGTATCTACTCAAACTCAAACTCAAACTTGGGATCCTTAATCGAAAAAAACATTGTTAAAAGAGTGAAATCCAAATGTAACGAGGAGCAGCAAAGACATCTGGG